CGGAGCTGGTCCCCGGGTGCTAGGGGGCCCGGGGCTGACGCGCGCGGGCGGGCGCACCCAGAGTCGCCCTGAGCCCTTCCTGTGCCCCAGCCCCTCCCGGCCATCCAGGGGAACTCACGGATGAGCGAGGGAGGGTGCCCTCGTGGGTGGCAGGGAACCCCGGAAGGGCTAGGGAAGGACGGATGGCCCCGGGGGCGGCTGCTGTCCCCCCGTTGCCCACCTTGGGCAGGCCCTGCGGGTTCTTCAGCGTTCTGGTCACTTTCCCTGCGCCCTGGTAGCGGGAAGAGGGTAAGAAAACGGAAATGGACATAAACCAAGGAGGGCAGCGTGGGACGGGCAGGATTTCCATCCCTCCGGCCGCCTGCTTTCCCACTCTCCGCCTTGCTCCTTTTCTTTCTTCTTCCCTTCTTTCCTCCTTCCCTCCCTCCGCTTTCTCTCCTGCTCTTCCTCTCTTCATCCTTTCCCACTTTTCCCTTCCTTCTTTCCTTCTCCATCTCTCCCTCCTTCCTTTCCTCCTCCTTTCCTTCGTCTCTTCCTCCCTGCTTTCCTTCTTTCCTCGTTATTATTATTACCTGGGAAACACTGGAGAGTTAATCGCTAGTTGTGTTAAGGGTACGCACTTGTCTCCTTGGGGTCTATTTTTCTAACACACGCTGCACGCCCAGTGTGAGTGAGTTACTCCTAGAGGGATTCTTTCTGACCCTGTGTCTTTCTGCCCGGCGCCCCTTGAGTAGGCCCGGTTAGCTTTGAGATCGTCCTGGAAACTTATCCAAAGCCCTTCCACCGCACAAATTCTCCCTCTCTGGCCAACCTTGCCAAGGCAGGAGACACCAGCACTGATAGCCCATGCCTACTGTGACAGGCACATCTTGACCCCGTGCGTGGGCGAAGTGACAGCCACCTCGCAGGTAGGAGGCCCTAGATAAAAGACGTACACGCTCCTCTGGGAGTGTGGCGCTTCCGGTTGTCATTGCTGGGCTCTGACATCACACACTGTCACACAGGGCACACAGCTAAGCACAGCTGGTGTGACTAGAGGTCCCGCGCCTGCTCAGAGACGGCATCAGATACTTCGGATTCCCTGTGCATGGAACCTGTGTAGGTTTTTGCCCCAACCCTCCACCCATGCCCTTAGAGGGGAGTCTTTGTCAAGCACACCCCTATGAGCATATTTCCTTGAACAGCTGAAAGCAGCTAGGCCAGCAGAATGCATCAGCCTTGCTGTGTTTATCAGAGCATCTGGAGATCTACTAGAGTCCTTTGGTTCGTAGGGTCCTAAAGACACAGCAGGCCGCAGGGCTGTGTAACCTGGGCAGTTGTACCCCTCTTACAAGGACCCACCTCTGGCTGGATGTTTTGCTGTCACTATTACCTTGAAATTCTTTATCATTTTTAAGCCAGTTTCCTTGAGCTTTCATGAGGCATGAGGCCTAGCAGAATCCTACCTATAAGATGTGGGTGTAATAATATTTTATGCATGGGCTAGAAACCTAAAACTTTCCGCCTGAGCTCAAGGGATCCTAATGGCTTCTTGAAAAAAGGCTCAAAAATATGAAGGGCAATCTTCAGTATTGTGAGAAAGCTCAGGGGCTCACCAGGGAGGAACCTGGCCAGGCCGGAAAAGTGTTTGTGTGGAGAATACCAGCACCACCTCCTGAATGCTGTCACTTTCATCTGCAAATTACTAAAAACACTGTCACAAGCTGCAGGGGGCCCTTCCCTAGTGTTCCTTTTTGAGTTTTAAAGTAAAGCAAATACCTGGTCTGGGGGGAGGGGGGAGGCAAGGGTATAGTGCACACCCACATCTTCATAAGGTGACTGTGACTCATATTTTTGCATGTCACATCATGAAATCTGTATTCCAGAAAGAGGGCAGGCGTGCTGAGCTTTTACAAACTGCCTTTTAACTGCTCAAAGGGATCGCTATATTCTTTAAAGCAAAGTGTGTGCTGCTATTGGGGGGTTCCGCAGCATATTCAATTCCACGAATAAATGCATTTCATAATAAGCCACAAAAGAGAACAGCTAGCCAGTTGAACACTTAGCCTGGCCTGAAACATACACGGTTACTTCCTATGCCCGCGGTAAAATAAAACTTGTGGTTATATTGCTTTCTTTCTCAGGAATTATCACAGACATCCTCTGTAGGATGCAGACCTTTCTCTGGGTATTTATTTTAATTGCAGTCGAAAGCTCCTTTTAAAAGGAAAAAACAGTGTAGTAAAGTCAGGGTAGCAGTAAAGATCTAGTTTTTTATATGCTGTCCACCTCTGCATATAACACAGCTCTCCCTGCTGGTTGCTCAGGGACTCCTAAGTTTGGACACAACCTACGTTCTTGATAATCAACCACAAGCTAGGAGTGTGTGTATGTTAAGGGAACAGGACCGAAAGCCGGGTGGAGTTCATCCAGTGCAGTTAGTAAGGAAGTGATCCTGTGTATCCACCCATTCCCCAGGATGGACGTATTTATTATGTACTATAAACATATACACAACATTTAATAAATAATATAAAAGAGGGAAAAATGACCTGGTATATTTCAGAACATAAATCCTTTTTCAATATGGAAAAAGAAAAGAACTTAGGATATCTTCCTCCAAGATGACCTGACCTCTGTGGTCTGACTTTGTCTAGAGAAGAATTGACTTTAGTTTGAGGTAATACACAAAACATATCTAAACGAGTTTCAAAAAGTATCCCACTTTGTCTTATTTATATCTGCGTGAACCAAAAGGTAGGCCCAACTGTGTCGCTGTCTTAGGTCACGGAAGAATCACAGCAAATAAGGCCCTCACTCCAGGGGACTTGTTCTTGTTATTTTGTTTCTTGTGCTTTCTTTGGCTTATCAGCTTTCTTCTCTTCTGCTCTCTCTCCTTTTTTCCTCACAGAGAATAAGATCCACTTGGAATGCTTCTTACAGGTAGACTCCATGACCCCAAATTCAGAGATTTGGTGTCTCATTTTCTAGGGGAAAGGCATTGTAAGCTCAGCTTTTAAACACTAGGCGATTCCCTCGTGAGTCAACCAGGGACTGAGAGCTGGAGAGAAAGTAGGTTTCAGAAGCACATATCTCAGTGAAAACGGAGCTGAGGCTTTGATCTGAACAGCATCTTTGACTTAACTTTGTTTCAAGTAGCTCTTTGGGGTGTGTGTATGTAATGGTGCAGACTGGACCTACGAATCCATTCCATAATAACCACACTGACATATTTTCTCCAATATATTAACCTCCACTACACCTCCTTGTTTGCCTAAGCTAGCAACTCTTTTTAAAGGTTTTCCAACCTCACTTAATAAGGATAAAGATACGAAAGGCATGGGCATAGTCTCTGCTTGGTACATCCATCCCTCGTGGAAAAGCAAATCTAGAATTCACTGTAGACTCAGAGAAGAGTAAAACTTGTACATGGGGAAACCTGAAGAGTGTGCCCTGCGAGACTATTGACCTATCCCTATACCTACATTCCTGGGGTAAACTCTCCGAGGTTCCAATTAAGAATAAAGCGTTGTGTGGATAAATGTCAGGTTGGCCTGAACAGTATGTTTTCAGGCAAGAATGGGATGTACCTCCATGGAACTATACCTGTTGGGCTCCCAGGTGACAATGTAATCATTTTATAAATGGCAATGGCAGCTTTTTGTACCAAATCATTGAATCTATACTGTGACTTTTCACCAAGAAAGGAAAACATCACACCTGACTGCAATCATCCGCTTTCTTCAACCCTCCTGAAGAGTCGTAGCCTATGTGGGGATAATATTAGCGGTAGAACACATTTATCCCTTCAATGAGATTATAAAATTTTAATTGCCTTCTGTAGCGTCAAAAGGGTTTCTTTGTCTGCATTTTCGTGGTGCTGAAGAGCGAAACCCAGGGCCTCACCCTTGCTAGCCCAGCACTCCGCCATGGAGCTATAGCTGCAGAACTAAATTTTCAGCGGATTCTAATGTTAGCAACATTACAAGATGCAATCGTAAGGATTCTCATGTCTGATTTTACATACAAGCTGTAGATGCTGGGAAAAAAACCCATGCAACTCGATATAAATGGAATACCATGTAAGAGTCAAATGAGGGGAGCTTTGTAAAATACAAAAGTAACTGGTGACTTTCTGGTTCTGACATAACGAAAATACTACTGTCTTGTCCCCAAACATTTGGAGGAACATAAATGCATTTAAAGAAACTTAAGGAAAGTTAGTCAAATCCTAAATGATATGCCTTTAACTAAAACAAGAAATGAATTCCTCACCTCTGAGTGGCCTAATTCCATGTGCAAAGCATGCTGTGCGTTCCAGCAAACTTGGTGCTTAAAATTTTGTGAGACAGGACTTTCCGCTTTTTTTGAGCAGAGCTCCAGTAAATAATCACGTTTCTATTCCGATTTTCAGTCTTAAACATGGAAAGCAGGCCACGGCCGCCCTTCAGAATGATTGAAATTCTACTTCGCGGGAAGTCTTAGGTGGGGTTTTCTGCTCTGATGTCTTCAAGCCCGTGGAAATTTACATTAAGCTGTGTAAATACCAAGAGATTTGGAGAGGTTTCTGAAAAAAAAAAAAAAAA